AATTAACAGAAGGGAATAGTGGCATGGATATAAATAAATCTCAGGCAGATGATAATTCATGTCGACCGAATGTAATTCATGTTGATTCAATTCAGACTGAATATGAAGAACAAGACGAAACACAAAACAAGAAACAAAATCAGCTGCATATTGATACAATTTCAAATGCTACTACTAAAAATAGAGTGGAATGTGAATTAGATATGCAAATTACTACAAAAGAACAACATGAGCAATCTGAAGATTCGAAATCGTATATTGATAAAAGAAACAAAAAAATAGAAAAAAGTCCTAAAATCAAAGAAAAAGTACAAAAAAAGGCATCTCAAGATAATATAAATGAATGGGAAGAGATGGACGATGAAGTACTAAACTCTTTAAGTTTGTTTCACGACGAGGTAAAATCAAATGATTAGATTTTATTTTATATGTAATTTTACAATAAAAAAAATGCATAAACATGTGTTATGAATAATTCATCCGCCAAATGGTATCTGCGGTATAGGTACCTTCGGTATAGGTATCTTCGGTAATAATCTGTTATTCGTTTGTTTCGTTGTATCTTCTTTCGGTTTTTCAGTATTCTGATCTGTCGATTTGTTTGCGGTATTGAGGCCAGACTTGGGAACAAACGTATTGAGTGTGTCGATAGGTTTTTGAATTATAGATATTGTTTCTTTAGCACCTTGTTGTATTAATTGCAGAGGTACTTTGTATAAACTGCATGTAGGTGATTGTAATCGTTCTGGTACAGCCGTCCACAATCCCATTTCGCAGTATCTAGAGTTAATATATAGTGAATAATTTAATATCATACATTTTGAGAGTAATATTTAACATAATCTTTCACAACATTACCTAAAATTATTCATGATTTTCGGGGCAGTCGTGATGCTGACAAAGGAATTTGTGTCATCTGAGAATCTTGGAATTATGTCTGGCACCCAACTGCTGTCATTAGAGCGTACATTTGTAATAGGTGTGCCAATCATTCCATTTCTCGCGAAATTTGCTATCATATCCGTAAAAATGTCAGTTACGCGTTCGTCTGCTTCGTCAAGCTTTCTGCCATCGCTCACTTTTTCGCCAGTAATTGTGTTTCTATTAAAGATGAATCCTAGATCATCGCCGTGATTTAAATTACCTACAAACGGGATTATTAATTATATCAACATTATGTAAGGAGAATGTAACGTAATATATTATCAATTATTAAAAATTGTACCATCTAAGGATCTCTTGGCATCGACGATCGGCAATCCATTGAGAAAATCTTTGCCATAACTTCTTTTTCCCTTGTGATCAAAAGTATATAAAAACGTATTTGCTCTTTTGGACCAGTAATCAACGGTCAAAAATGCGGGAGCATTGTAGAGTGAATCGCCCAAAGCTTCCGCAACTTTTCCAACGTTATTCGGTGTGCCATCACCTTGGAATATGTTAAGGTAACCGCGGAAAGCTTGTGGGACGAACCGCGAACCGTTTTGCATATTTGGGATAATCCCTTGCAAATACGGTATGAAATCATTGGTCAAATAATCCGGAATCGTGCTCAATTTGTTTTGCACTTCGTCTTTGTATTGACCGAAAATTGCACCTCCTGTTTCATCTTTCATGACTCCTGTTAATAGTGGTATAGATGGAAAATTGTCATGCCTAAAAGAATCTTCCGGTGATGCGGTCATGAAATTCGGAAGCGACCTTAAAGATGATTGATAGTAAGTTTGATTTAAAAAGGCTTAGTTCAATAATGGTTTCGGTATTTGGTCTCAGTAAATTTGTTTTACCTTCCATCATTGGAACCTTCTATAACAGGACCAGGCCCAAGCAAACTGGTTAAGCCGGAGACGAAACCTCGGACAGTTGTACGGGTATTCTCCAACTTGGAATCGGTGCTGATCAATTTTTCGACTGGCAATTCTCGTAGACAGTCCACCATTCTGCGAGTATCGTTTGTTGGACAGTCATTTTTCTGAGCTATGTGTCTAGCGGTCTTAGAAGGATCCTTGTCGACAGCGAAGTGAGATAAAATGGTCCCGGACATCGCGATTAAACCATGGAAGTAATCTACAAAAATATAATGTAAAGATGTATTTGCTTGCAGCGCGATAGGTCATGTCCTTACTTTCGCAGAATTTCGATAAGGATAGCATCATAGCGGAACTGGCGCCGGTGCCATGACCGAAAGCTGTGATTTTGTTTGGATCACCACCGAAGAAATGTATGTAATTTTTCACCCAATCGACGGCCAGTACCATGTCGAACATACCATTGTTTCCTGGCATTTCCTGAGTACCTGTGCTTAAAAATCCTGAAACAGAGAGATTCAGTGCCATTTCTCTTTCTTGCTATACAAAATTAACATTCCTAAGAAGCTTTTCTAGATAATACGCATTGTTTAGAAGATATCTTTATGTCTTTTAAATATCTTGTAGACACTTATCTCAAAATACATCTTTATAATGTATTTATGATATTTTTTAGATATATATGTTGCCTCAATTATATCTTTTCTTCAGTATGTTTTAATTACCTAACGTTCCCAATCTATACTGGATAGATACGACAATCAATTTCTTCTTAATCAAGTGTCTCATTTCGTATTGACATGCCGCACCTCTTCTAAAACCACCCCCATGAATCCATATCAGCACAGGATAACCGCCGCTGATATCTGGAAGCGACGGGGTGAAGACATTGAGAAAGAGGCAATCTTCGCTTCCGATAATTTTATCGGTTTCATTGTGGCTGGGCTGAGGACAAGGAGGTCCCCATGTAGTGGCGTTGTATTCTCCTTCGAGATACACAGGCGAAGCTCGCTAAAAAAATTATTTTCTTATTAAGAATGAAGATATTAATTTAATAATAATAGTTTCATTATTTCTCTCTCTCTCTCTCTCTCTCTCTCTCTCTCTCTTTCTCTCATGAAACTTTAAAACATCAGAAAAGTCAAATATGGTTAGTATATTAATAGCGATTGTTATAAAATTATTTAACGTTAATTAAATAATTAATTTGTATTTCTGTATGAGTATATAAAAGAAATACATATGTATCTCTAAAAAATAGTTACGTTTAATTGATGTTACAACGAATAATTAGTTATTTTGATTAATATACTAAATTGTTATATGCAGAATTAATTAATATTTGTTAAAGAATATCGTTTCCTGCAATTTTTTCAACGCTTCCTTTTATTTTTTGGGCAGAATTGATAACGTATATCAAGTTCATTAAATTGAGCTTTTGTGACAGGATATACTGAGAGATAAAATAATATTCCGTTCTGCTCGATCGCATTATCGATTAATAATAGCGTAAAAAATATTACAAAAAAAGAACACGGTCTTTTGTGCTTACGTGGAAGACAGCTATTATTATTCGAGCACATTAAAGCGACATACACGTTTACTCCATAGGTCAATGAATTTAATTATCGCATATATTATGATGATTTTCTAAAGCCATAGTTTAATTAAGTCTTACAACGGTTTAATTAAGTTCTTAACGTAGTTAATGTATTCGCCAGTGTTATATATTAAAAAATATTAATCTAATAAATCGTGTTATTAAATCTTCAATCCAATTTCTTCTAGATCTAGTAAAATATCGATCAAATCGTTTAAAATTTAAATCAATTATGTCATTAATATTTTATTATACATATATATATATATAAACAAAGATTTTTAATATATCATAGTGATATATTTATAATGTATTGATTATTATTGTTATTATTATACTTAATGTAGATGTACCTGGAATCTAGCTCGACCGGTTGGTGGCTGTCCAAATCTGATCCCACGAAAAATATAGAATCCCTTGTCAGGATCACGGATACCAGTAATACGTGCGTATCGATCGTTTTTATTCACAAAAACTACTGGATCGTCCTTGGGAGGCTGCGCGGCTGGTGCACCGCCGACAATTCTCTTTCGTCTAATCACATTCGCATCTCTGGCACTTGTTAATAAGCAAAGTAAAAGGATAATGAACGAAACAATGCGTCCATCCATTTCGAATACGTGTGTTGAAATAAAAGAATTATCATTCGCGTCTCTCGTCGAGCATTAGTGTGAACGAGTTGGTGGGGATGCACATCGACATTCTTTATTGTATGGAATCTCTATTATTAAAAAATTATTTTATAAATAATTATAATAAATTATAAATAATACGATATTATAAAAGATAATAATTTAATTTTTATTAGAAAGAGGGTTTCAGCATAATTATGATGATATAAAATTGCAAATTATCCTTTTCAATAGAACTTTTTTTAAAGGTTACAAAATAAGACTTATATGTAGAGACAACAATAAGAACTATAGCAAAAAGAACTATAGCAATAAAAAACACCATGTATAATTATTATAATAAAATATATAATTATATAAAAATATATAATGAGTATAAAGTAATAATTAAATAAGTACAATTAAATTTGACAGCAAATCTTCCCTGGTAAGAAAATTTCTTTCCAGAGATAACTTAAATAGTTAGTTGCTATTAACTGTCTGATAATTTACTTTGTTCGTCTTATTTATTAAAGCATCAAAATGCAAAAATGTGTGCAAAATATAATTAATCAGATATGTTATGGACAATAAGTTTGAATCGAATGCCATTTTGGCGGGCTAACTACGTGATCAAGCGAAGTACTGTAATAACCTCCAATTAGTATTACGGTGAACTTCCGTCAACTTCCATCTTTCCTCTCTTTGATGTTGGCTCCTTCGGTACTTGTATAGGATTTTGTTGGCGTGAATTATCCGCGTCGATCTACCGCGCTCGAGCTGCATCTGTGAAAGGAACTCTCGATTACGTATTCTCTATTTTTATGTGCGTAAAATACACTTGATATTTTCGCGAAATGAGAACATTCTTATCTCGAGCGGCATCGCGAGGTTAAGATGCGCCAACGAAATCCACAACGTGACGAGCGTGATGTTACAAGTGTTATCGTGGCTAGATGCATGATAATTAACATGGTTTCTTTTCAGGTTTGAGCCATGGGTAGAGTAATTCGTGCGCAGCGTAAAGGTGCGAGAAAGGGAGCACCAAAGTTACGATCTTTAGACTTTTCCGAAAGGCATGGATTCATCAAGGGTGTCGTGAAGGTTTGCAACCACTTTCTATTCTATTCGGGACACTATTCCATTTGACACAATTGTAAAGTTCGGCTGGATTTATTCAAGTTTGTCTGAATACTTTGGTTTAGATCTTATATTCATGATGATATCCAACATACTTATGTCTGATTGATCAGATGACGTTAAATTAGAGGCTCTTTCTGAAGATTTTTTGTGTTACAAAGGTATTTTTAATCAGTTTAATAGATTATTTAAGAGACATTTCTTTTTTTGTTTAGGATATTATTCATGACCCTGGTCGTGGAGCGCCATTAGCGGTGGTACATTTCCGTGATCCTTACAAATTCAAAACACGTAAAGAATTATTTATTGCACCTGAGGGAATGTACACTGGCCAATTTTTGTATTGTGGAAAGAAAGGTGTGTAACAATAATTTCTAAATGAATAATATTAAATGAGATAAAATTGATGCTTTATGTAAAGCAGGTCTGTCCAATTTGAGTTCCGGAGCCAAAACGCAAAGCTATCAAAGTAAAAAAATTCAATGTAAGATTTTAGGAACTGTAAACTGTTGATAAGCGTCACTTAAATATGTATCAATACTTTACAATCTCTGAAATCTTACATTGAATTTTGTTGCATCAATGGCTTTGCGTTTTGGCTTTGGAATTCAAATTGAACAGGCCTAAAGTAACTATTGTCATTTATAAGTATCTGATTTATTACATATTAATTTTTATTAATAAAAATATATAATGCTTTCAATTTTTTCAGCCAATCTCCAGATTGGAAATGTGATGCCAGTCGGCATGATGCCAGAAGGTACGATTGTCTGTAACTTGGAAGAGAAAACTGGCGACAGGGGCCGATTGGCTAGAGCTTCTGGCAATTACGCCACAGTCATAACACACAATCCTGACACTAAGAAAACGAGAGTTAAATTACCTTCTGGAGCAAAAAAAGTCATTCCTTCCAACAATAGAGCAATGGTTGGAATCGTTGCTGGTGGCGGACGTATAGATAAGCCTATACTCAAAGCCGGTAGAGCTTATCACAAGTACAAGGCAAAGAGGAATTGCTGGCCTAAGGTATATCCTTTGAGTTTCATATTGTTGCTATATAATGACACAGAATTAAATTTTTTCAATGATGGTAATTAAGACATTTGAAACCTGAAGAAATTCATGTGGAATTTTTTTTTTTAACTGAGTTAAGATAAAGCTCTTTTATGTCGAGTTAATGGTATGTTTTTTTTTTGCCGTGTTTGAGACACTTCTAATTTTTATAGGTTCGTGGTGTTGCTATGAATCCTGTGGAGCATCCTCACGGTGGTGGTAATCATCAACACATTGGGAAAGCATCCACCGTCAAGCGTGGCACCAGCGCTGGTCGTAAGATTGGTCTTATTGCTGCTCGTCGTACCGGTAGAATTAGAGGAGGCAAGACCGACACGAAGAAGGACGATTAGATTAAACGCTGATACATGTTGTATAATAAAGGAAAATATACAAACTTACAAACTTTGCTATATACTCAAACAAATTCTGCGACTTCTAACGAAGTATTTTGGACAGCTGAACTAAAGATCGAAGTTGAAACGAAAGGAGAGACAAAACTGTGTTTTCCTACATCTACATTTTATTGGATGACATAATCTTGTTTAGAATTTAACTGAAAGATAAAACTTGTTTGTATCTTTAAGAGTCACAAATCTTTTTGTCGAATTTTTTTATTATCGTTATAAGAATTATTTTTGTTATAATTTAATACTCAAACTGAATTTTTATCATAGTGAGAGAAAGAAGTAGGAATCTTTAGTTCTGCTTAATCTTTGAAATTTAATACATATATGTGTGTATGTCGTAGTCGAAGTGTTCATTTTAGTAAAGTCAATGTTTACATTACATATAGTACAGTAAACTGAGTTTATCGAATTAACATTGACAGTGACATAAATAATTTAATTTTGAAGAGATTAATATATACATATATCTATTGATACAGACTCGTGATTTATATTGATATTAGTAGCATTTTTATCTGCATCAAAAAAATTTTAATCTCTGCTCAACATTAAAAACAAATTATCTATTTGCAAATTTCAAATTGATGTTCGATAACATAAATATTGAATTACCAACCGTGCTTTCAATCAATTTACATCTGCGTCGTATAATAATTAATATTCCTAATATAGATTTTCGAATTTTTGCGTGACGTTTTTTCTTTTTTTATATTTAGCATTGAGAGGGGGTTCTCTTCCCGAACACGCCGTGTTCTGTCGCCCCTGACATCCGGCGGAAATCGTGCCGTCACCATTTTGGCAGTTCGGTTTCTCGGCCATTTTCGTTGCGTCAACGTCGAGTGCGGCCAGGGGCCTCTCGCGCTTTCCTAGCAATCACGCCAGTTGCCTCTGGGAATTCCTTCGTATCGTGTGGAACGAGAGACTTAACCGATTCGTGCCGTTTTTTCGATAAACTGATAAAGAATCGAGCCGAATCGCGAGGATATCGAATCTATCGTCGCCTAGTGAGGCGTTATATAGTACGCGAGACGATAAAGAGACCGAGGGCGAGAAAACGAGAAAGAGAGAGACAGAGATAGCGCGTTGGGACGCGTTGGAAATTTTTTCGACTCGAGTGTGTGTGAGAGAGAGAAAGAGCGAGAGAGAGAAAGCGAGAGAGAGAAGAGAAGAGACGAGCTAAAGCTAAAAGGGCTTCAAGCGACAGAGCTGCGAAAACTACGCACCGAGGCGGAGTAATATGAGTAATGCAGCCAACCAGAATGGATCAGGTCTAGAGCAGCAGGTAAGAAAAAAAAAAGGATGAAAGAAAGGACCGCAGAAGGCATTGTTCTCGGGGAAGCGTCCCCCGATTTCTTTCCCTCCCACTCCTTTTTTATTTTTGCACATTTTCGCACGATCACCTGTATTTTAACATGACCCGCGGATTTTTCCGATGTGAACGTCCGTTTTCGCCAGAGAACGTTTCGAATTCCGAAGGGAATTTCCTTTATCCGATCGAAGAGAGGGAGAGAGAGAGAGAGAGAGAGAGAGAGTGAGAGAGTGAGAGCATCATGGGCCGTCGTCACTCGTCGACCCGCTCGTGACGTACGCTACGTATAATGGCGGCAAGCGATTCCGGGAACGGCATGCCTCGTGTCGCGAGTTGCGACGCGCTCGTTCTCTCTTTCTCCTCGCGCTTCCTTCGGCTTGTTCCCATGAAAGGATTGCTCGCGGTAGCGGGGACAGAGGAGGGTCCCCCCTGCATACAAGTCAGAATTTCACAGAACTCGATCGAGATGACTCATCGTCGGATCGGACGATAACGACTTTTATTCGCGCGAATAAATACCACGCGGTTGCAATCTGCGATACAAGACATCTAACCTGAGCCTTTCTGTTCTCCCACAGCTAGCTGGTCTGGACTTGCAGGGCTCCCGCCAACCAAGTGGGGGTCGTTACGTTCCACCGCATCTTCGTCATAAAACTGCGAGTGAGTATAGGAGTTTGTTGAAGTTGCTAATTTTTAAACTGGAGTACGAAGTCTTTACTTAAAAAATTCATCGTTCCTCGTTGTCTGTAGTTCTATGACAGAGTATTTAATAGTTCATAACGCAATAGATTAACATGTCGAAACTGACAAGTATATTCTGGCCAGCAGACTGTTTTAATCTTAGTTTTATGAAATACTTGTAAACTTCAGCTTTATAAATTGTGTTCAGCAGATAAAGTGGCTTTATGACTATTGTGTGATTCTTTATGGTGTTTTCTATTTGTTAACACAAGTTGTTAACAAAAGTGACATTTTATCTTTATTGTTCTCTGAATGTCAAGAAAGATAAAATGATGTTTGTGTCAATTTGTATCACTAAATAGAAAGCACATAATACGACTGGTTTATGTATATTTAGATTCAGTGAGAAACTAGGAACAAGAAGCAATTATATTAAAGAATCTTAGAATACTTATGTAAATCTCTTTTTGCTGACAGCAGTCATTGTTTTACAAAGCAGGATACATATAAATAGTGTATAAATGTTTAATTTTTTTTTCAACAGGTAATCCACCCTCGGATTTAAATTACTCTTCCAACTCTAGACCGTTTGGAGATAGAGATAGAGGAGGAGATCGCGATCGCGACCGAGAAAGAGACCGTGATCGAGATAGGGGTAGGGGCGGTTATCGAGACTCGCGGAGTCCTCGCGACGTTGATTTTGCGAACTTCGGGAGCTTCGGTGGGCGCAATAGGCGCAGTCAGGAAAATGGAAGAGATTATAGATACTCCAATTCCGAACGCGATCGACCAATTAGCGGCAATGATCGCTGGCAGGAGCCTATTAGAAATGATCGCTGGCCAGATAACAGAAATGACAGAATGGGCGCAGGAAGATGGGGCGACGACAGAGGCGGAAGAGGCGGTAGAGGTGAGGTCGACTGGACGATCCCCACTGCCAGGGATGAGCGATTGGAATTGGAGCTGTTTGGCTCTGGCAATACTGGGATCAATTTTAGCAAATATGAGGATATCCCAGTTGAGGCTACCGGTGAGAATATACCACCACACATCACATCTGTGAGTACGATATATACATGGGACTTTATGGAGCACTCGTGTCTCTTTCCTCTCTAATTTGTTCGTTTTTTAATTTTTCAGTTTGACGAGGTTAAGCTGACAGAGATAATAAAGAATAGCATCGCCTTGGCAGGATACGATAAGCCTACACCGGTACAGAAGTATGCGATACCGATCATCATCGAACGCCGTGACGTGATGGCCTGCGCTCAAACCGGGTCCGGTAAAACAGCGGCCTTCTTAGTGCCAATACTGAATCAGATTTATGAAAGCGGGCCGCGACCACCACCACCGCAAGCAAACTCTTCTGGCAGGCGTAAGCAGTATCCGTTAGGTTTAGTGTTGGCTCCCACGAGAGAGCTTGCTACACAGATATACGACGAAGCACGGAAGTTTGCATACCGATCGCGTATGCGTCCTGCAGTCGTATACGGTGGTTCTAACATAGTAGATCAAATGCGCGAGTTGGATCGCGGTTGTCATCTACTTGTGGCGACGCCTGGGCGTCTGGTGGACATGCTGGGACGTGGTAAAATTGGCTTGCATAATTGCCGGTAAGTTCACGTCACGTAATGGTTTCGACTTAAGAATAGCACGATTATTATTTATTTATTTACTTCTAGATTCTTGGTACTCGATGAAGCAGATCGCATGTTAGATATGGGTTTTGAACCGCAAATAAGACGTATCGTTCAAGAGGATAACATGCCACCGACTGGAGAGAGACAGACTCTCATGTTCTCTGCTACTTTCCCAAAAGAAATTCAAATGTTAGCCAGAGATTTCCTCAGCAACTACATTTTCTTGGCAGTTGGTCGCGTGGGATCGACTTCCGAGAATATTACACAGAAGATAGTATGGGTGGAGGAACATGACAAACGTTCATACCTACTTGATTTACTACAAGCTAGCAACTTTTCAGATCCTAGTAAGTTGTAGCCGAAACTTAAATTAACATCAAATTGTTGGTTTTAATTAATTTTATTAATGTGTTATACTTGTATTGCGCAGCTGCTGAGTCACTCACCCTAGTGTTCGTGGAGACTAAAAAAGGTGCCGACATGCTCGAAGAATACTTGGCCTCAATGGGATACCCGGTTACTAGCATTCACGGTGATAGGACTCAACGCGAGCGAGAGGAAGCATTGCGTCGGTTCCGTGCGGGCAAAGCACCGATTCTGGTCGCTACCGCAGTGGCAGCACGTGGTCTCGATATACCCCACGTTAAGCATGTCATTAATTTTGATTTGCCCGGTGACGTTGAAGAATATGTTCATCGTATCGGTCGTACCGGTCGTATGGGCAATTTAGGTTTGTTTCATTTTGGGGTTGTTGCATTACTAGCAATTCAAAAAGAACAAAACACATCACACTGCATCTTGTTTTATTAATTTAATTCAGGTCTGGCCACATCATTTTTCAATCATAAGAATCATAATTTGGTACGCGACTTGGTATCATTACTTATCGAAGCCAATCAGGAACTTCCACCCTGGTTGGATGATATGTATACTGAAGCGAGATATTCCGGAGGTGGATCTCGACGACCAGGCGGCGGTGGCGGTGGTGGAGGCGGCGGCGGTGGCACGAAAGGACGCTTCAGTGGTGGCGGCTTTGGTGCAAGAGATTATCGTCAACAACCCAGTTCTGGGTCTGGTCGTAGTAATGGACCCTCTAGACCTGGTGGTTATGGAGGTAAATAAAATAATTTTAAAAAATAAAATTTGTATAAATTTATAAAATAAAATTTGCGACTAATAAGATATATTGCTAATATTAATAGACTACTAATTTAAACATTTATTTAAGGATAGTATAATTAGTAGTTTTTAATATCTGGTTAATGTGATACAAGTTGATATTCCAACTCGGACATTTCCGTAATTCTATCATGTATATTATATATATGTATATATACAATATTACATTATATATATATTATAATCTATAT